TATATATATATATATATGATTTATTTGATATTACAAATATTAATGACATCAAAATTAATTTGATTTTTATTTTATTTAACTGAATCATGTGTCATAATTATTGGTAGAAATTAATTAGTTGATTAATGTAAGGTAACTGTATTAATTTTTTATTTTTGTTTATTTATTTATTTTCATCTTCCTGTCGTCTATTTGTTTTTTGTTTTTGTTTCTTCATGAAATGTTCTCCGTCAATTTCCTGTATTTTTCTATTCTACTATTTTACATTTTATTTTACAAAATAAAAAGAAAAAAAGATTGAACTAACCGCGTGACTATTAAAGGATACAAGTAAACGTCGAATGCGAACAAGTTATGCACGCGCTAGACCGTTGCAGTTGACCGAGTAAAATGTGATTACCGGCGGAAATGGTACACGCCATTCGTGTTGTTCCATTTAACTACGATGCGAAGAGAAACATTGACAGATCTAAATTTCCTTCTTCTCAAATTATTCTATCTCGAGAGAGAGAGATAGAGAAGATATTTTTCTCGATACTAACTACTATCTCTTCATTCGACGAGTTCAATGCGATCTAATCTTGAAAAAAAAAAATAGAGAAAAAAAAAAAACCATTTGTGTCCTTATCTACGATAATCCAACACACAGATAAATTTTATTTTAATCTATTTTTAAAGAAAGAAAATTGAACTGAAATAATGAACTTGATTCAATTGACTTTTACTTTTAACACACATGGATACATCGATACATTGATGAAACTTTTACATTTGACAGTCATTTTCCAGACAAATATTTTTCTAATTGTTATAAATGACAAATATTATTCAACGATTAAAAAGAAGAAGAAGAAGAAGAGCAAAGGGTAGTAAATAGTAAAAGAGAGAGAGAGAAAAAAAATAATGGTGTGGTTTGTGCCCATTGCTGGAACGCTCGGAATATATGCCGTGTCCTTGCTGCGAGAGAAGAACCGAGAGAGAAAGAGAGAGAGAGGGAGAGAGAGAGAGCAGCAAGTCGGCATGGCACGGCTCGCTCAATGAACACACGTCATTTCGAGTCATTCATGCGACTGCAAGTTATCCCTCTCTCTTTCTCTCTCTCTCTCTCTCTCTCTTTCTCTCTCTCCTTGTCTATATGTGACATACGCGTGTTCACGTATCCGGCATATCGTATATCCGTTTGTTTGTACGATTCCAAGCGTATGTTGTGTTGTTCATTGTGACTTAGGTCACGGGAGATCGCGTAGATAGAAGAGTAGTTACGTTCGTCCTTCTACGTATCCTCTCTTCACTCCACTACCCAGCTACCATCACCTCCCCCTCTCTTTTACTATCTTTAATCCTACATATATATATATATATATGGTTCTCTCTCTCTCTCTCTCTCTCTCTCTCTCTCTCTCTCATTCTTTTCCGATTCTTCTCTACAATTACGTATATATGTATATTTCTAAATAACTCTTCGATACATATATAGTATTTACTTTTCTCATTCACGCCAAGAAGAGATATTATGCTAGTTTTTTATTTTCTAGGAACGTATGAATTTTTTTCCCTTCCTCTTTACTTTTCTCTCTCTCTCTCTCTCTCTCTCTGTCTGTCTGTCTGTGTCTCTTTCTCTCTATCTCTTTTCTATTAAAGGAAACGTCATAAAAAAATCGACCAAGTCAAGTTCTAAAAGCAGAAATCTCGAAGCCACGAACCGGAAACGATAAGAGACCCAACACGACCATAATTTCTTTTTTTCTTTTCTTTCTTTTTCTTCCTTTTTCTTTTTTTTTTTATTACACTTTACATTTTATTTATCATACTATCGTGTGTAACACTTTTGATTTCAACTCCATATTTAACCTTTGCTTACCATACACTTTGATCCAAAGGAGCCAGACCTTTTTTTTTTGCAACTTGAGTCGTCATTTTTCTCAATTGTACAAGTTTAATAAATTTTTCAACATATTTAAATTTAATTTAAAGCTATACAATCTATTATAGTCTTTTTAAGTAAGTATTGAAGAAGTTTCAAAAAAATGTTGAAATAAATCTATGCAATAGTTTCTTTTTTCTAACGATTTTTCTCATCCGGGTCCTTTGGACCCAGGTGTGGTAAGCGTGTTATTACAGGAAGGGTGATAAGTAAATGATTAATTGATCGTTGTTTAGTTTATTTATTATTACGAGGTAAATCGATCTTCTTCTTCTTTTTTTTTTGTTTTTTTTTTGTAAATTAATGCATGAACGTATGTGTATGTTTTTGAATATTGCGCTAACTTTAACTTGATATGAAGTAAAAAAGAGAAAGAAACGAAATATTTAGCGCGTACACACACCACGTACTTTTCTTCTCTCTCATTTTCTCTTAAATAACGGCTTCTTTACGATCCGCCTGCGCGTTACGGTTAATTAGGCAATTAAACCGCACAATTCCAGAAAACGATGCCACGAAGATATACCCGATGAAATCCACGATTGTTCTTTTTCCTCGATGTACCGCCACTTCCCTTTCTCTCTCTCTCTCTCTCTCTCTCTTACTCTCTTTGTGTCTTACTATATATCTTTCCTTCTTAGAATAGTCGAGTAATTGGATGACCTTTCATCATGTACTAAGTATAAATATTCAAAAAGTATGTCATTTTAAAACGCTTCCAACTGTACAATTGATAAGAATGTCATACACATTCATAATGTTTCTTCTTTACATGATCTACATGATTCTTATGTATAGTTTAATTAATTAATTTACGAGCACTTCAAATCGAAAACAACTCAAGCTAACCTACACACATAGAGATACACATACATGCATTTATGCTTGCATACATAAATTTATATATAGATCCATACATCATACATATATACCAAATACACACGTTCATTAATACAAACATATAAATACATATTAGATGCATGCATATATACACATATGCATTCATACATATATAGATATATATATAATATGTATCTACTCATACTTACGTATAAATATAATATATAAACGATATAAGTAGTAACACGAAGCGCCAAGAAAGGAGAACGAGGAAAGGTGACGGAGGACGAAGGGGAGGGTAATCGTACATCGTGAAAGAGGGAATGAGGGGGAAAGGGGAGGGGGGGATAGAACGTTTCCACACCGGATATCCTCCCAAGGGAAACGGTGCACGCGATTCGCATTGCCACGCCCGTAGTATTTAGTATGTATATGCTGTGTTTCTTTTGCACGTCCTAGGTTAGACGAATAACAGTAAAGGATTCAGTTGAATCGCCATATTGAAACTATATAAGGTATTTAAAGTTAGAAATTTTGAGTATCAAGAAAAAACGTTGGTAGGAGAGGATCATGATGATTTATATCCTCGAGGATGAAAGAAAATCGTAAGTTATGTTTTTAAGGTGAAATCAATATCGATCATAAAGGAGATAAGTTTCGATACGTCATCATCTTCTTTGTTAGTCTCGATCATTCGATCATTCGAGTGGTCACAATAAGAAGGCAGGTTCTTCATACATTGGTATCGAATTCACTAAGAACTGAGAGAGATAGAGAAAGAAAGTAATTCAATACTCTCCATAGGGACCTTGAGTACCTTCCCATGAATACGCATACACTTATATACATGTTCGTAAGTATAGGTATATGTATATGTATGTGTAGGAATATAACGTGTTCGACGTGTATATGGTAGCTCTTTGATTATGGCTTCGTTTTATTAGATGAAGCGAGATGATTCGCGAACGACTCTCGTATCTCATTCTATTGCAAAGAACAGAGAATTTTTCATCGTTCTTTTCTTTTCCCTTAGGTATCAACAAAATATTGAAATAACATTCCGTACGTCCTATTACGTGAAAAGAAAAAAATTATTTTAACGTAATTGAAATCAAGAAAGGATAGTAAATATATATACAAATTAATTAATGATATTTTCTTTGCTGTAGATACTAATGATTAAGTAGAATGTAGAATTCCTCGAGTATTCTTCTCTCTACTCTTTCTCTCTTTTACGATGCATTTTCATCTTTCAAAATTGCAATAAAGATAGAAAGAAAATAAGAAAAAGAAGACAATGATTCAAAGGTGGAATAAAGAACGAACGAACGAACGAACGAACGGTTTACGTTTGCAGTCTGACTTAGAACGGACGGCACCGAAAGATACGTGCGTGCACGGAACGAAAGACGGAGCCAAATGGAACAGAGCAAAAGAGAGAAAGAAAGAGAGGAAAGTAAAGAACCTGAGAGTTATAAAACGAGAACGACAAGGACGCAAGAGGATGTAGTTGGCGGACCTTTACGAAGAGAACCGAGTCTCCCCGACATGTAGGGAAAGCTTAGTTTGTATAGAGAGAAGGCACAAGGGATCATTTCTCTTGACAATTATTTTTCGACTTTTAATGTCTTCTTGTGCAATAACGAAAGTAACAATATTATTATACTTCGATTATATTAATACAGAGCCCAACATTTTTATTATCTATTTTTTTTGTAATCAAAAAATGTATTTAACAATAAGTATATAAATAAGAAGAAAAAAAGTAAAAAAATCGTCGTTAAGATTAGCAAACAAGAGATAGATCGGATATTGAAGGGTTCCGATGAGGTTTTGGGCCGGCCCTGGTAAGCACAATACCGAGTATGAATGAAGTATCGTGTCTGGCTGGTAAGAGGGGAAAGAGAGAGAAAAAATTGTGCGGTGTTTCGTGGCGTTGAGAGGTTGCGGGCGGTAAACTGGTGACGCTCGTTGATGTTTAGTGCGCATGCGCACAAGCGTATACGGACATACTCCCCCTTCTTCCATCTCCTCGTGTATCGGCCATGGAGGCACCACAGCACGTTCGAGTTTCGCGGCAGGGCACAGCAGGAATGAGCAGGAGAATTCGCAATGTATTGCAATGTTGAGAAGCAGTGTTGAGTGTAGCCGACTGCATTCAGAAAGAGAGAAAGAGATAGGAAAGGAGAAAAGAGGGAAAGAGAAAGGAACGGATATAAACATTTTTACGCGCTAAAAGTCGCATCGTTAGTGGATATCGAATCCTCGAGTAGTAGACCGCCATGTTGTTTGGTAACAGGTCGATCATCGAATCGAGAGAAGATAAACTTTTTAGGTAAATAATTCATTTGATCAACGTAACGGACAAAGTAGGAGATGAAAATATCTCCTAATCTCATATAAATAATCTCAATCAGGTAAATGCAAAATTGTGAGTAGGATTCTGGTTGCTGCTTGAAGAGATATATACAACGTGCCTGGACCGCACGAGCTATGGCAACATGGCTGCCAACGAGACTAGCTGAATCTTTCTCGCTTGCTTCGTTGTCTCTTTCGCGCGTGGGAGACTATGTTCTTTCTTTTTCTATCACCGTAACTTGACGTGGGCCAGATTGGCCTCTCTCTTCTTTCTCGTCTTTTATTTTTCTTCGATTCGTTCTATCCTCTTTATCTTTTTTTTCTTGGTCCCTTTCGAGAAGCTCATTCTTTCCCGATCTTTCTCCCACTCGGTTGATATCTCTCTCTCTCTCTCTCTCTCTCCCTCTCTTTCATTCTCTCGGCTACTGGTGTTAACGACAGATAGACGTCTCTCGGCGGTCGTCCCGCGCGTGCCCTCACGCGAGCTCGTTCGGCCACATACGCTTGCGTGTATGCGTGCGTGCGTGTGGTCGATCAGTACAAAAAAGCAAAACATAAAAGTAGCGCGGTTTTACCTCGCTACAGAGGCGCGAAACACCGCGGTAGTTGGCCACGCACGCACACACCGAATCGCGTTCTACTCTAAAGGAGAAAAAGAATGAGATAGAGAGAAAGAAAGAGAGATAAGAGAGAGCGAGAGAGATCTTTCTCGCATGGTGTGTTGTCACCGCGTGAGCATGCTTGGTTACATCTTGCTTGTTATACTCAGAACAGGGTCTCTCGTCAGAAGCGAAAGATAACGAAGCAAAGTAGAGTTCGCAGATTCGATAAGAAATTGCGGAAAAGGAGAAAGAAAAAAAGAAAGAAAGGAAGAAATAAAGGGAAAGAGAGAGAGAGAGGGAGAGACGAACAAACAGAGAGAAAGAGAAAGAAAGAGAAAGAGAGAGATCGGAGGGCGAACAGAGCGAGTGCGACGTACCTGGCTGCGCCGGTGGCAGTCTCGATCTTGCGGTCGGACGAGCTCCGTCGTCCTCGTCGTTGTCGTTGTCATCGTCGAATTGTTGCTGTTGTTGTTGTTGTTGTTGTTAAAACGCAGCGTCGTTTTTGTTTTGGCTATTCCTTATCATTGTTGTCGCGACGTGTCGTCGTTGTGTCGTCGTCGTCGTCGTCGTCGTCGTCGTCGTCGTCGTCGTCGTCGTCGTCATCGCGATGAAAGTAAAAGACGCGTGTAAAAAAGAAATAAATAAAGGGAAAGAGAAAAAGAAATAAAGAGTAGGAAGAATGCGTGTTAGAGAGAACTGCGAGCAGTACTATCTTCTGCTCGTTGACGATCTACCAGCGAGAAGATCGGCGACGGTGGTGGTAGAACGTTGCCGTAGCTCGTTCGAGGTGCGAACCGCGTGACACGAATGCGGGAGTGTGAAAGAAAAGAAGAAGAAGAAGAAGAAGAAGAGAAGGGAAAAGGTATCCAGCCGCATGCGTGCAAAGAGGACAGAACGGGCTGGCTATTTCTGTGGAGAGTATAGGGGAGACCGCCCGTATAAAATAAGCAGTGAATGAAGGAGCCTGTTTACTGGCAGACGACCTACGCGAGATTCGGTCGCCTCTCCTCTCGTCGCGGTTACTCTTTTTCTCTCTCTCTCTCTCTCCCTCCCTCCTGTTCTCTCTCTTCTTCTCGATAATAATCCTCGTCGTCCTCATCGTCGTCGTCGTCGTCGTCGTCGTCGTCACAGTCGCCGGTCACCACCACCACCACCATCGCCTTCGTTGTGTAGCGTCGTAGCGTTGTCACGAATACGCTGCTGTTTGGCAGAGCGAGAGGGAGAGTGCGCTGCGAGCGAGAGAGTACAGGGAGGGAGGGGTGCGTGAAGGAGCAAGTGAAAGAGAGAGAGAGAGAGAGAGAGAGAAAAAGAAAGAAAGAATCGTTGGCCGGAGTGAGAGCCGCGCGCGTGTCTTGGCTCAGTGCGCGAGGAGAAGCCGAAGAGCGCCGATCGTTGTCGGAACGTAAGGCGCGTGTGTCGCTCGTAAGTTTGTCGTTTGTTCGTTCATTCTTTCCTTCCTTCTTCTATCTCTACCGACGTCGTCTCGCTGTCTGGTGTTTCGTATTATTGCTAAAGAATAAAAAAAAAAAAAATACGAGAAAAGATAATAGAGAGATAAATAGAAAGAGAAGGAACATTTTTCGTCGCTTTATATTTGACGATCCACGTTCGTATGTACGTTCGGTCTGCTTCGGAGTGCTTCTTCTCTTCGTTTTAACGTGTGTGCTACGCGATCTACACGACACGATACGACCATATACATTTTTCGAGAAACTTACATAGTACCAACCAACGACGTACGTGCGCGCCGACAGGATACAGAAAGAGAGTGAGATAGAGTGAAAAAGAGTGTGACAGAAGGAAAGGGAAAAAACGTGCTGCGAGGACGATCGGGTGGTCGTGTATACACTCCCGACTCTTTTTCGACTCGCCTTGTCTTGATTTGTTTCAACGTTGGTTGGTCGTAGTCGTCGTCATCGTCGACGGCGGCGGCTCTTCTTCGTCGGCGAAGAGACGAAGGAAGTACGTATGTGTCGGCGTACCGTGACGTTGTGACGACTGCGGAAGGAGGAGAAAGGTGGAAGAAAGAGGAAAGATAAATCGCGCGTGTTTCTTCGAACTGCGTGCGAGAGCTCGCGGTATAAGAGAGAAGAGGGGTAGGAAGAGGAGAAGGAGGAGTACGAGGAGGAGAAGGAAGAAAAAGAAGAAGAAAAAGGTGGAGGAGGAAGAAGCGGTGGAAGAGGGCGAGAAGGACGACGAAAACGAGGGAGAGAAAAGAGAGAAACAGTAGTAGTAGTAGTAAAAGAAGAAGAAGAAGAAGAAAAAGGGGAGGAGGAGGAGGAGGAGAGGAAGAAGAAGAAGAAGACGAGCGCGGGAGTGGTGAAACAGCGTCGACAACGACGGCAAGGGACTCCTGGTGTTGCTCTGCTGCCTTTTATATTTTCTTTTACTTCCATTCGGTTGTTATCTCTCTCTCTCTCTCTTTCCTTTTCTCTCTCTCTCTCTCTCTTTCTCTCTCTCTTTCTCTTTCTTTTAACTTTTTTCTTCTCCTTTCTTTATTTTTCTTCACTTTTTCCAACGAAGAATCCATGCGTTCTGCTGCCAGAGTGGATTAATAGACGAGTATTGGTAGAAATCGTGGAAGAAGGAGAAGTGTTTTCAAAAGAGTAGGAAGAAAGAAGTGTTAGTTGGTGCGCGAATAAAAAGTGTCGAAAGTGTGGATACCTTAAACTCGGAGTCGCGTTCGGCGCTGCCTCTGGCGGCTGTGGTGTTATCATCGTCGGCCCCACTGCCACCGGTATTGCCCCCAAGACGACAACCCCCTAGCCGACCTCCAACCCCCTGTTCCAATACCGGTGTGCTATGCGGGCCGAGGACACCACCGAGGACACCGCCACCGAGGACACCGCCGAAGACGACGAGGATTACAACGGCGGCCCTAAAGACGTCGACGATTACAACAATAACAACAACGACAACAACGACGACGACGACGATAAACACTAGCAAAACGACGTTGCCCGCTGCCCAACAAGGCGAGCCGTCCCTCGTACCGCCTCACTATCCTGCGCCTCCACGGCCCCCGACTAGAAACGGTGAGTTACTTTTCTTTTCTTTTTTTTTTTTCCCCCATATTTCCTTACCATTCTACACCATAGGAATTCTTTCACATTTTGGTTGAACGACCTTGCGTTCTACGGAAAGATGACCAACGCTTTTTTTGTTTTTTTTTTTTGTTTTTCTTTCCTTGCCTTTACATCCGCGTTCCCTCTTTTTACTTGTAAATATTTCAATGAACCGGATAATACACAAAACGTACATATATATATATATATATCTCCCTCTAGTCATTCTCCGCTCTTATTATCGCTCATTGTCAGAGTTCTACGGCTTATCGTTCGCGCATCTGATTCGTCCTCATGGTCGTCGTTGTGTCGTTTATTATAGTTCTCCTCGCCGTTTTATATCTGTATGTATATAAGAAAACGTGCGAGAGTAAGAGAAAAAAAAAAAAGAGAAAGAATCTTGACGATTATTCGATAAATGTCACGTCATATTTCTCGTTATTACAATTCTACTTAGAAAAGTAGAAAATATCATTGTCCCCCTTGTGTGAAGTATTGAAAATAGTTCTTTGAATTCTCTCTATTTCTATCTCTATCTTTTTCTCTCTCTCTTTCTTTTCATTCACTAAACACATACAGAAAGATTAATAACATAGAGACGTTTACGCGAATTACGTATCCCGGGTAACTTATAATTCATGTACAACGTTTATCCAACAACGTCAGGATCAAGTTCCGGTAATCAAGATTCTACGAGCACTCTATCTGCTCCGTTTAACATATTCTACGACGTAAGAAAATCGCGTGACTCCTTCGTGAATCTCGGAAGCGAGCTACGATGTTTCTCCGGAAGCCTACTCACCTACGCGTCCATATTAATCGTCCTCATGCTCGACGGCTATTCACATCTCTCTATATATATACAAATATAAAGAAGTAACGTGAAACGTTTTTACTATCAGAGAGAGCAAAGCTAAGCAATATATCCCCGATATATATCCTTCTATACCTTTCTCGCGTTCGAACATTCTTTCGAGGTTGTTCATCGAAGGTGTGTGCGCGAACGCGCGCGCACCTACGCTTAGTTACGACTATATCTCGCTTTTGAATGGCACAACGCGAAGACTAATTCTCTCTCTCTCTCTCTCTCTCTCTCTCTGTCTCTGTCTCTGTTTGATACTTTTTCTCTTTCTAACGCACGCTCCATTCTGTTGTTTTTCGCTCGGCGGCACCGATTTCAAATGGCGAGGTCACCCGACTTTGTGCCAACTCTATCGCGACGCGGTCAGGCGCCTGTGACCGACCGACCGACCGACCAACCGACCGGTTGTATATTGAGTCACACGCTATGATTTCGTAGAAGAGAGGAAAGAACAAGAGACAACGAAGAGAAATAAAGACACAAAACGAAAAAAAGATAAAGACAGAAAACTATTCGATGCCGTAGGAGGGAGCGGTGCCGACTACGCGACGGTGAATGAAATGCGCGTGAACGCCTGCGCGCAAACCTAAGCCCCCCTACCCTACCCGCCCCGCCACCCTCTTCCGTAGAAAGTTTTGCGAGAAAGTCACCAACACTACCTTTCCATTCGTGAAACGCGTACGCACGCGTTCTCTCTTGCCTTTTCCTCCTCTCCCCTCCCCTTCCCTTCCCTTCCCCCCACCGTCGTCTACTTCCACCTCCTGCCCTTCATTCACTCTCGCTTTCGGTCATGCACCTTTTCCTCCACCACCACCACCCTCCAACAACGTTTTCTTCATTAATTGAAAAAATATATTCAATTTCTTCGCGCAAAATATAACATTTTCTTCATTAATTTTGTTTGTTATATATGTGTAAATGAATTTCATTATGATGACTTTTTATGAAAGAACTATATAAAACTCGATTTCCAACGTGTTTCCCGCCTTTTTTTTTTCTTCATTCCTCACGTGGTTCAGCCACGTGATTCTTTCATTCTTTTCGTTTTCTTTATTTCTTGGGTTTTATTTTTTTTTCTTTATTTTTTTTTCTTTTTCTTTTTTTTTTTTTAATGATCTATCTGACTTACTATCTTTCTGTGTTCGAATAGTATATAAGTACATGTGTCGCGTTTTATTCTTCTCTTTGTGATTCACGGCTGCGAATGCCATTTGTTTTATCTTGCCGTGTCGGACTTTCGTCGCGCATGCAATAATACTTTTGTATTTGTGTGTGTGTTGGTGAAAGGCAGTATATATATATATATATATATATATCCGCCTTTTAGTACGCGACCGAGCCAAGGTGGATACTTTGCGTTTTGCAAACGTCGTTCTGTGTTCAACGCTGCAAATACGCTATTTATGTATGTGTACATGCGCTCGCGTGTATGTGTGTATTTATGATTAAACTATATGCAGATTGTGTGTGTGTGTGTGTGTGTGTATACGCGTGATAATGCAAACGTCGAGCTGGCATGAATGAGACCACGATTTCCGTGCATGACGATAGTATTATATGTATAATACTTGCTTACATACTATATTATATGTCTCTGTGTGTATGTATGCTTTAATATGTGTTGGCAGTTGCAATGGAACACCTGAGATCATTTGAAGAACAAAA